GAGCAAGCTGGGAGCCCTTTTTGAAAGGAGTCCTGGTAAGTCCTACTTTTGGGAATTCAAGCTTGCTTGCCCACCAGCCTCTGCACCCACTTCCCAGTTCTGAGGAAGAAAGAGCAGCCACCACCCTGCGGGCCATCCCAGGCACTATGTGGGCAGCCTACAGTGCTGAGCTCTAGACCTAACTCATGAAGGCCATTCTGATACTTTTTACCTCCTTTTTGGAGACAGGGAGCAATTGGAAAAATAGCATCCACAGATCTATAGGAGGAACATCTTTTCTCCTTTGTATCTGAAACTATAAGTTTATCCTACATCTGACTATTTTTTCTTATTGTGTATGTAAACACTTTAAGGAGAAAATAAAAAATTCCAATAAATCCCTGCAATCTCTTCTCATGAAGCCATTCTTAGTGCTTGCCAGAGTACATGAGTGTTTTTTTTTTGTTGTTGTTGTTGTTGCATTGACTTTTATTTTTCCTCTGTAACCATCATCTTGTCTCTTCATTTTTAGTACATGAGTGTTTTAACACGACACATAGTGATCAGGGCGCCTGTGGATCTGGCTGGTAGCCTGCCTTGTGGTCGTTGCCTATATCCACCTATCTCAAATATTCCTGCTCATGGCTAAACGATGTTCTGTGTTTGCTTAACCTAACCATGTGACTCTCAGGCAACAAACTGATATTAGCAGTGATGCCATCAGAAGCCCTGTTACCCAAGCTGTGTGCTTTTTCTTTCCGATATTCCCCCCAGAGAGGATGAGGGGCTGCCACCTAAATAGCCTGCACTGAGGATAAACAGGGCTCACTGCCACATGCCTTCAGGTCAGATGATGGGGGACCCTGCTGAAGGCCAGAAAGGAGGACATGAAGCAGGGCAGAGGGGACAGGCACTCAACCAAGGCTCTCTGGATTCCTGCCTCAGCTTTATGACCAGTTGAGTGGATGTGGGGGGAGCTGAACCTAGGGAAATACTAGGACGGCTCTACGACTTGCAGCAACAATCCTCTGGCAGCCCCGCCCTGGAACCAATCCCATTGGAACTGGTGCAGCGAGTCCCTCCTCCAACCCTCACCTGATTCACCACTCCTCATCCTCTCTTTATCCAGGCCCAAAGAACCTAGAGCAGAGCTGGGCTGGCAAGGACAAGCTCGGTATTTCCTTGTTCAACCACCATAGCAATAATATTTTCGTATTTAATAGTGTTATGTGTAGGGCTGGAGACGTGGCTCAAGCGGTAGCGCGCTCCCCTGGCATGCGTTCGGGCCGGGTTTGATCCTCAGCACCACATACAAAGATGTTGTGTCTGCCGAATACTAAAAAATAAATATTAAAAAAAAATTCTCTCTAAAAAAAAAATCGTGTTAACTGTAAATATTCCAATTTATCAGCAAACAGTTGTATTAAAAAATTCGGGGAAGCAGGCTGAGGCAGAAGGAGGATCTCAAGTTTGAGGCCAGCCTGGGCAACTTAGGAAGACCCTTTGTCAAAATAAAAATGTTAAAAAGGCTGGGGAGGTAGTCTACTACTATTACTGGGGATGTAGTATATTACTAGTGAGGTTTCACCTTTTCATATGTTCACTGGCTCTTTGAGTTTCCTCTTCTGTGAATTACCAGCTAGTATGAATTCTATTAGTTACCAAACAATATGCTTTGATCAATTTTCTTTTGAGGTATTTTGCCTTTTTGTCAATAATGTATAATACCTGAAGAACTTTGAAAGAAAGGTAACTGTTCCAGGCCCACAGGACCTAACCACCCCCATGAGATAGCCACTAATCACTCTGGAGGGTGGTTCTCCCATGACCAATTACCGTCCACTGGGCCCCACTGCTTAAAGATTCCTCTGTTCTTCAAAATTGTTACACTGGGGACCAAGTTTCCAACACATGAACCTTTGAGGAACAAGCCACCTCCAAACCACAGTTAATGTACATAAAATTGCCCATTTTAATCATTTTGGTGCGTGCAGTTCAGTGATAGTAAGTACATGCAGAGCACTGTGCAATCATTACCACTATCCACTTCCAGAATATTTTCATTGTCCCCAAAAAACTCTATATCTTTTAAACAATAAGAGCCTGTTTCTTTCCCCCATCGCCTAGTAAAACTGCTCTGCTTTTTAATCAATCTGCCTATTCTAGGGACCTCAAATAAATGGGATCATAACATAGGTCCTTTTGTGTCAGGCTTATTTCACTTAGTGAAGTGTTTTCAAGGCCCGTCCATGTTGAAGCATGTGTTAGATCTTCATTCCTTCTTATGGATAGTATTTAATTATTTATGTATTTATCACAGCCTTTATCCTTTCACCTGTTGATGGATGTTGTTTTCACGTTTTAGCTATTCTTAATAATGCTGCTATGAGCACTGCTGTACTAATATTTGTTTAAGTACTTGTTTTCAATTCTTTGGGATATAGAATTGTCACAAGAAGTAGAATTGTCAGGGGGCTGGGGATGTGGCTCAAGCGGTAGCGCACTCGCCTGGCATGTGTGCTGCTCGGGTTCGATCCTCAGCACCACATACAAAGAAAGATGTTGTGTCCGCCGCAAACTAAAAAAAAAATAAATAAATATTAAAATTCTTTCTTTAAAAAAAAAAATCGTCAGACTGTAGGAAAATTGGATCAGATGACAAATCCATCAAAATTTATCTTATTTTACTGCCTGTGTTTTTGGTGTCATATCCTAGAAATTGTTGCCAAATCTAAGGTCACAAAAATCTTTCCCCTCTTTGAAAAGTTTATTGTTTTAGCTTTTTTTTTTTTGCTGTGGAACTGGGGATCCAACTCAAGGCCTTATACCGTTGTTTTAACTTTCATGGCTTTGATCAATTTTTAATTCATTTTTGGTACACAAAGTAAGGTAAACATTCAACTTTTTCATATGGATATAGTTTTCCCAGCACTATTTGTTGGAAAAAAAACATTTTCCCCATTGAATTGTATTGACACCTTTGTCAAACATTTTCTGGACTCCCTGTTATATCCCAATTGATCTATATCTCTGTCTTAATGATAGTACTACACTGTTTTGATTACATGGCTTTGCAGTAATTTTGGAATCAAGAATTGAGTCTTTCAACTCTGATCTTTTTCCAACATTGTTTTGGCTACTCAGCTCTTGGTATTCCATATGAATTTTAGGATGTCAATTTCTGCAAAAACACCATTGATACTTTCAGGGAATTGGATTGAATCTGTAAATCACTTTGGGTGGTATGTCATCTTACAATAGTCTTCCATGAACATGTAATGTATTTACATTTATTTATGTCTTCCCTAATTTCTTTCTGTAATCTTTTGTAGCTTTTAGTGCACAAGTCTTCCACCTCCTTGGTTAGATACATTTTTAAGTATCTTATTATTTTTGATGCCACTGTTGAGTTGAAAAAAAGTTCCTTTTAGCTTGCTCATTGTTAGTGTGTAGAACGGGAACTGATTTTTGAATGTTGCTTTTGTATGAGGCAACTTTGCTGAATTTCTTAATTCTAACATTTTAAGGAATCTTTAGGATTTTCCATATATTAAAATCATATCATCTGTGAAGAGAGATAATTTTACTTCTTTCTTTACAATTTAGACATCTTATTTCTTTTCTTTGACTAACTGCTCCAGTTAGGACTTCCAGAACTATGTGGAATAGAAGGAGTGAAAGCAGAAGTCCTTGTCTTGTTTCTGAGCTTAGGGGAAAAGCTTTCTGCCTTTCACCACTATAATGTTAGTGGTATATTGTACATATATTGCTTTTACCATGTTAAGGGAGTGTCCTTCTATTTCTAGCTATAGCTTTTTTTATTCTAACTATAGTTTTTTTCCATGAGAATGAACTGAAATTTGTTGGGTTGTAACCAGATGTTGAGGGTGACTCCAGCACCTGGGGATCAGGTGGGGCAATGGGGACTAAGGAGCTATCAACAGAGAGAACCCTTGTTGTAGTGGTAGATGAGGGCCAACCTCAGTTAGCCAGAGCCGTGAGACTGTTGGAGAAGGAGAGGAGAGGAGAGCCACAGAGGTTGTGCCAGAGGAGGAGCCTAGACCAGCTTCCTCTGTCCTGGACAGTACATCAGGGCCCTCTCATCTGCAAGGAGTGAATGAAGAAGCCCTGATGGGGATCAGGCTCAGGGGACTGGTGAAGGGTCAGGGGGAACCCCAGTAAAGAGCTGGAGCAGGTGAGTGCAGGTTAATGCTGTGCACAGAGAGAAAAATGGCAGTGCCAGACTATTCTGAGCTAGGAATTACATTCACAAGATATAAGTTAGCAAAAGAACTGAAGGGAAACAAAGGACAGAGGAGACCAAAGGGTGGGGCCAACCTTTGGCCCAGGTTTCTTTCCTGATATGGAAAATGAATGAGGGCTCCAAAATGAGATCCAACTTTCCTCCTTGAGAGAATGGCCGAATGTCGAGCGCTGGCCTGGCAGACTCCAGAAGGAATACAGGCAGCAGAGCAGCCAGGCACTACCAGGCAGAACCTCCATGCTTGCCGCTCTCCACCTGCCCCACTCTGGAAGTTCAGCTCACCCTGGCTGCTCCCTCTAACTCCAGAAGCAAGGAAAGAATTAAGATTCCATTCTGATAGTTTTAACTTACAAAAAAAGTTATTTATTAACTCAGGTTTCCTTTTGCTTGCCATAATACATAAGCATGACATAGATGGCCTATAAGTCAGCACGGAGTTGTCAGAAAGCCCCACTAGTCACTGACACTAGAGGTCTGTGACGGCCTTGGACAACAGGACTATAGTTACAGTGTGATTTCAGGCACCATACATGAAGCTGAGCAACCCAGGAGCTCAGCATCCGCCTGGGCTCAGGAACATGAGAGTCAAAACTTTACGCAGATGACTGAGGACACCTCTGAAAGAGCACTGCCGCACTGCCTCTCCTCCTCAAAGAAGCCACAGCTTCTGCACTCAGGGCTTGGAGATCGGAGGCTTGTTCCCTTGGGAGCAGGGCTGGCCCGAAGACCTGCCTGGTCTGGCATCACCCCATGGCCAACGGTAAGAAGGCTGCATACCCAGGTCCCCCTGGAAGCAATTCTGCACACCAACCCAAGGCTGGGCACCATGGTGGCCTTATCAGCTCTTGGTCCTGCCAGCTGGTGTCACTGCTGCTTGTTTGGAAGAGCCTTCCAGGTGGGCGGGAGCTTCCTGTGGATCAGGGTGAGCCCACAGAGGATGAGGAACACTCCTCCCCACCACAGGACTTCCTGGCACTCTCCATACAGCACGTAGCCCAGGAAAGCCTGCGCAGAAGAGATAGCGGTGAGGGACCTGCCCTCCATGGGTGGGCATAACACACTCTCCTTTGGCTGACATTCTCCCTGAAGGTGCCAGCGGCAAAGGTCTAGAGCCAGCATCCTGGGGCTTCGCACCTGGCCGTCACCTTCACCGCTCACTCCATTCACCTCTGACTCCCCAGTAGAAGTGGGGTGTCGCCTCACTCACAGCATTAGACCCTAACAGAGAACGTGAGAAAGACCCAGCACAGGCTGGCAGGTGGACCTAACATAGAGATGGTTCCTGGCAGTCACTGACCCATGCTAAGCTACCACAGCCTTCCTCCCAGAACTTTAGGAATGACTGGGCTCAGATCCGCCCTGTTAACTTCAGACCACCAGAAGGAACCTGGACCCTCCAGGGCTCATGCTCAAATTCACAGACCCCTAGGAGACAGCTAGGCTACAGAGGGACTTCAGAAAGAAGTCCCCAGGCTGGAAGGAGCACCAAGCCAGGCTGTATTCTTATCTAATTTGAGAAGTCCATCATATATTTTTTTTAGCTGTAGATAGACACAATATCTTTGTTTTTTACTTTTTTATTTTTGTATGTGGTGTTGAGGATCGAGCCCAGAGCCTCACGCATGTGAGGCAAGCCCTCAGCCACTGAGCTACAACCCCAACCCGTCCATCATGTTTTTTAAAAATATTTTTTTAGTTGCAGATGAACACAAAATATTTATTTATTTTTATGTGGTGCTGAGGATCGAACCCAGTGCTTCACACTTGCGAGGCAGGCACTCTACCATTGAGTTACAGCCCCAGCCCCAACCCTTCATATTTAATGGCTCCATGATTAGAGGAACAGCAAAGTGGGGGTCAGCCAGAGCCCAACCTCTGCTTCACATCCTGTTCTTTCCCCTGGGAAAGCAGGGGTCCCTCATGCACAACTCACCCAGAACCCAGGTTTAGTACAAGGGCACCAGACCCTCAGGCTACTCACTGAGCTGAGGATGTTTGAAAAAGTCACTGTGACAGATGCAATGGCTGAAGACATGGAGAAACTGAGGCCCCGACTGAAGAAGGTCCACATCAGGGAATTGGTGCTCGCCATCACAATAATGCCTAAGATGCATAAGCTCATGTTCACCTGTGGGAGAAAGTGTCGCTGCAGCCATGCCCATCCACCTGCAGCTCCCCTTACAGCTCACCCAGGGACATAACTGTGGCAGCCAGACCCCTACTAAGATGGCACCACAGCCCACGGAGACTCAAAACTTTCTAGGGCAGGTTTTCACTTAACCCTCAGTGGGCAGCAGACCCATCTTCCAGATGGAACAGTCAGAGAAGACTCTTGCTGGCTGTGAAACACTAACCCAGAATTAGTATTTTCCAGTGAACACAGACCTCTCTTACTGGTCCCACAGGAACCAACGCTTGCAGACCTCAGGACCTAGTAGTTATTACTTGGTATGTGCTTATAAGTGGGGGTGGGGAGTCCTTACTTCCCAGGATCAGGCAAGGCACGAATTGGCCATACCTCCCTCCACGAGGCTCCCCAATCCCCAAGTTACAAATTCATTCAGGCCAGCTCCTTAGGGCATTCCTGGGCCTCTTTTGTGCTAAGACTTTACCTGTGCAGGTGTTTTCGGTGCATTCTTGCTTATTCCTTAACTTCATTTTACAGATAAAGAACCAGGGGCACTGCATAACTTGCCTAAAGTGCCACAGTATGAGAGCCCATAGGATTCAACCCTAGATACTGTAGTTCCATGCTCTTAACCAGGACATGGCCCTGACTGGGGATACACCATCGGAAGTGATGTGAGTCATTCCAGGCATCACTTCAAGGACCTAAAGATTTTTTTCTTTCTTCTTTCCTTTTTTTAAAAAAAAGAAACCCTTGAGAGAAAAGGGAATCTTTAGAAGCCTCCTATACAAAACCTATATAGACCTTCTTGCTTGGCTGAGAATAAGGAAACTGCCTGCAGACATGCATGCTTCTTCCATGGATTGGGCCTATCTAGACCTCCTACTTATTTCTCTTAGGTTTACCAGAAGCTAAATATTTGAGAAAAGAGTGCTTTTTTGTGTGTGTGTGTGTGGTGGTGGTGATGTTGAGGATTGAACTCAGGGCTTTGTGCATACAAGGCAAGCACTCTATTAACTGAGCTATTATTCCCAGCCCAAAAGAGTGCTTCTTTATAATTTACACAAGGCATCTTATGGTCCAGTGGCAGCCTGCTGACATAAAGGGTTATGAAGGCTGGGTGACAACTGATAAAGACTAAAAACCTTTCCAGTCCACAGAGTCATTTGTTTTACTTTGGACCACTTACCCCAAGAATCACACCCCACAGTACACCAATTGCAAGCGTGGCAGCTCCCACTGACTTAGCCCTAAACAGACTGTCGGGTCCAAGCCCAACTCTGGGTTGGGGATGCAATGAGACTCCTCTATCAAGCAGAGACTGGGGATGGGAGGCGAAGGGGATGCATCTGAGCCCTGGAGGGAGGATGCTGGGGGGAGGGGGCGTTCTCAGTTCAGGAGAATTTCCAGACGGTTCTTTCCAGTATCCCCGTATGCCTAGGGTACCCCACACGCCCAATTTTCCTGGCAATAGGGTAGACCGGCCAGAACACCCGATAATGACAGAAGAGCGATGGGCAGCGGGTTTCTCACCTTGGAATCGCGTGCAGAGAAAGTCTGAGGCACAGGGGACTTAAAATGAGAGGTGGGAGGTGGCGGTCTCCCCCAGAGCGGAACTAGCCCAACCGCAGGGAAGGTTTTAGACCTGTCAGGAGGAGGCCTCGTCCGCCGTCTCTTACCGCCCGCGCGGG